TTTACTGTGGATTGGATCTTGTTTCTGTTTTACTTTACTTAGTTTTCTTCTCAGGCAAGGGCAGACCAAATAGATCTTGCTTGCCAGAGGGTGCAGGAAATCTCGTCATTGATTAGCCATTCATATTTTGAAGAGTATTTTTTTTTCTTTAAATCTTTTTCTCTTTTGGCAGTTGTCATGGTTTATGTCTGTGTCCCCAGGCCTCATGAGTTTGCATTGTGTATTTGTGATTGGTTCATTGTCTAGTGCTTGGATTGATGATGTCAGTGCTTCACTCACAGAAGAGTGGAGCCAGGATGTGACGGTAATGGCAGGAAGAGGTGTGTCTTGCTCTTTGCTGGTTCCAGCTTGCTGTTTTGCAGCCGCCATGAACTGCGGCCCAGCCATGCCCGCCTGTCTTGGAGCCAACTGAGTGTGGACTGAAACCTCCAAAAACTGTAAGAAATTCCTTTCCCCAGTTTGGGCTTCAGGTATTTTGTCTCAGTGACGAAGTAAAAAGTAACTAAGACAGCAGTGCTGGAGATTGCACATAGGGCCCTGTGGATGCTGGACAAGTGTTCTACCAATGAGCTGCATTCCCAGTCCGTGGGTTTGTTTTGTTTTGTTTCATGATTTGCTTTTTATTTTTTTTGGGGGGGGGGATTTCTCTGTGTAGTTTGGGCTGGCCTTGGACCTACTATGTCCCGCAGGCTGGTCCTGAATGCCTGGCGGTTCTCCTGTGTCAGCCACCTGAGTGCTGGGATTACAGGCGTGCACCATCTTGCCCAGCTTGCAGTCCTTGCTTTAAATGACTTTAAAACATACCATCCCACTATTCTAATTACTACATAAGCATTTCATTCAAGCAGCAAAAACCCCAAGTTAATAATCAAAACTTTTAATAAATACTTATATGATAATTGAGGTGTCACTGTAATTTAGTGAGCCCTGAGTCTCTTAAACTAGAACTTCTTGTTAAAGGCAGAGGAGGGGAATGGGTGTTTGGGTTAGGAGTGAGAGACCTGGTTGTAAACCATGCAGATGTGTCTCTTGACCTCTCTGAGCCTCAGTATTTCAGTTGTCACACAAGAGTTGTCTTAGGGAGAAAATAAAATAACGTTGTGTTAACTACTTAGCACACTGTTCAGCAGACACTATGGTTGTGCAATAGGTGGTATCATGATGACAGATGCTGAGAAACAAAACAGGTCACTGAAGGAAAACAGCCACTGCTAGCATTTTGAGTTGTATCTTTCCAGTTTTAAAAAAATGTTTCTTGAGTTATTAATATATATCTTCTTTTCTTTATATTAATGTTTTCTTCCGTGTATAGTTCTTTCCATTTATGTTTTACAGAAAAGGCAGGGAAAGGCTTGACTCTGCCTGCTTAGCAGGAAGGTGAACCTGTTACAGTTTATGTGCTAGGTAATATTATTTCATATGGAGATAATAAAAATGGAATTGTGTTTTATTTAAAATATGAATGTTATAGGCTGAGGATTTAACTCAGTGGCATAAGCACCTGCCTGGCAAGTGTGAGGTCATGAGTTTGATCTCCAGTACCAAAATAAATAAATAAATATGAATGTTTACAAATCAGCAAGTATGATCAGAGAGCATGTAGTAGTATTAATTTTATTAGAATATCTCCATTTTCAGAATATTGAAACTTTTATTAGAATAGCTCCAATTTCAGAATAAACTGAAAAACTGCATCTAAATGAAATCTTAACATCAACTGTTTCCTTTGATGAGTATGATTGTAGAAGTTTCACTGCACATCACTTTGTTAAATTTACTGATTTGGACTTCCGGGAGAACATGGCGGACAGATAGCAGCAGCTACGGAGGCTCTCTGAAAGACCCAGCTTAAAATCCAGGAAATGGTGGGAGTGAGGAATCCTAAGCAAGAGAGGAGAGATATGCCCTGCTGACCCAAGAACAAACTGGGCTGAGAAAAACCAACTGGGAATGCAATCCTGGTGCTATAACAGGAACAGATAAAGCCTCAGCGTGGAAGCTGGAGCCCGCGCCATTGGAAACCGAGATTTGGGTTTCCTGCTGCCGCGGCTACCTCTGAATCAGCTCAGCAGGGAGACAAACGCTCGAAAGCTCTGAGAAGGGAATCAGTGAACGGAGTTGAGAGCAGGACGGGCAGGGAACCGTGCATCGACCTGCGGTGAGTCAGAGAAACTGGGACTCTTCCACGATCTAGGAGGCTCCAACAGAGGACATTCTGGGACCGGGCAGACTTGCTGGAACAGGGCGCTGTAGTGACTTCAGTCACATATCGCCCTCTCAAGCGGGACTGGTGAGCAGTGCATAGCCTATGTGACGCTGCTGGCTGAGACCCGATAGGCTAGCACAGCCCAGGTCCCAGCGCCTGAAGGAGACCTGGAGGGGCAGGCCCCGCATAGGCTGCCTGGTCCGTAACTCCCTGGTGCACCGTGGTGGGCAGGAACACCTAGCTGGCGCAATTCAATCAGACTGTGGCCAACAGGGAAGGAAGCTGGGCCTCCTATATATGCTTGCATATATAAGGAACAAAGAATATGGGAAGAGGGAGCGACAAGAAAGGCCCCTCAGCCCCCAATCCTGAGAAACAGGCAATAGTGGACACTGCACCAATAGACTCCAGAGCCTCATAGACGAGTTCAGGAATGAAGTTATTAATGACCTGAAGCTAGAAATAAGCAGAATAGTTAGAGAAATGCTAAGTACCACCCAAGAAAAAACAGATGGTGGAACGGAAGAACAGAAAAAGAGGGGAGAATTGTTTGATGGAGAAAATAGAGAAAGCATAGAATACGTGAAGCAGGTTCAAAGAGATTACCAGGAAACTAAAAACTCTATCGAAAACTGGCATAACAGCTTGAAAGAAACTAAGGATAGATTATCTGAACTGGAGGCCAGATTTTTAATATGGGAGCATGAAATGAAAAACTGCTTAAAAATAACAAAGAAACAAACAGCAATAATACAAAGACTAGAAGATGATAAGAGGATCTATAACTCAAGAATTAAGAACATAAAAGAAGAAGTAGGGACACAAACAAATGAACTACAAAAGCTACTTGCAGAAATAATCCAGGAGAATTTTCCTAATTTAGCAAAAGGTAAAGATACTCAGATGTATGAAGCATTCAGGACCCCAGCCACCTACAATCCAAACAGAGCTACACCCAGGCATATAATAATCAAAATACCAGAAATTCAATATAAGAACAGAATATTAAAAGCCATCAGAGACAAGAAACAGATCACTTACAAGGGAACACCCACCAGAATTACAGCAGACTTCTCGGCACAAACTATCAAATCATGAAGAGGGGGGGAACAATTCAAGCTTTGAAAGATAATAACCTCCAGCCAAGGCTGAAATATCCTGCGCAACTATCCCTGGAAATTGATGGAAAAACAAGGTGCTTCCAGGATAAAGAGGAACTAGGGGAATATGCAACCACCAATTCAACTCTACAGAGAATACTGCAAGATATTCTAAAAAAGAAAAATACGAAGAATCCAGAAATAGGGGCAGAGAGGCCACAATGAATGGAGCAGAAAACAAAGTGAAGACAAACTGACAACTAATGACAGAAAAAGAGCTCAACAGAAATGAGGCAGAGAAGACTGGATGATAGGAACAGCTATTTTGGAGAAAATGTCGTCATAATAGGTAATGCTGATTTAGTATCATCTTGTTTTGAAGTCTCGTCAAGCTTTTGCTCTTCTGTCTCCATTGGTCTTAGCATGTTGTATCTTATTGGATTTTATTCTAGGTGGTAGTATAAACAAAAACTTTTATAGACAAGGAGATTATACAGAAACCATTGTTCATTTTCTGATAGTTGATTCTAAATACCCTGTCATTCTCTTGAATGGTTTTACATTGTTTTGATATATTTGATGCTACAATATACAAAGTTATACTCAAAGATTTCAAGGAAAGAGACAATATGGTAACTACTTTTATGTCGGGATTATCTTGTGCTAAAACACTATTTTGCTTAAATGGTTATGTTTTTTTCTGCGCTGTTTTGTTGTTATGCCCTCTTTTATCTCAATCTCCATTTTATTATTTACTTTTTTATTTTTGTCCTTTTAATTAAGGGAAAAATAAATTAAAAAAATAGCAGGATATATTATAGTAACCCACTTTGATTTACCATTAACTTGATTTGAAGCCCTGTATTGCTCTCACCATCTTGTTTTGACTGATGTTCCTCTATTCTGTTTTGCTTGATAGTACCAGGTTCGAAAGTATAGGCAACAGCTGTAAAGATAGTGGGATTCATTATGACGCCCATTCTGGTTGACTGTTAATCTACTTTTGAAGACCTGTAATGTCTCCAATTTTTTGGTTTTGTTGGTTTCATTCTTTACTGTTTTGTTCAATTTTATTATAACTGATGATATAGGCAATTTTATTAGAGATAGCGGGAGGCATTATGGTAACCATTGTTGATCACCTTGTATTATGTTTTTACATTATCTATTATGTCCACCCTTTTGATTTGACCGACTCTGTTCTGTTATGTCACATTTGGTTTTACTCTCTTCCAAAAAAAAGTAGTAAGAACTGTGGGAGCAATAAAACCCAAAATGTGTAATAGTCATTGTACAAAAGAGAGGAAAAGAAAGTGCTCTAAACGATATAACTGCATGTATATTTAAGTGTATAAGATAGACAGTGATATTACTGAGTTTTGTTGGATCATTGAACAGAACTGTTTGGTCTCACTGTTTGAATGTCCACTATATAAGCTTTAATTTTGTAACTTGAACAAATATTTCTAAGATGACAATATGTAATCCATTAACTAGTGATTTCCTACTGTTTATTATTTTTCCGAAATTCTGTATAACTTGTACCCTTTCTCTGCTTTTTTTTCTTTTTCTCCTTAAATAAAATTTTAAAAAAAAATTTACTGATTTGGTACATTAGTAACTAAATCCTCCTCTCTTTAGCTTTATTAACAAGTTGACTAATGCTCTTTTTTTTGTTTTTTTTTTTTTTTTAGATCTACACACAATGAGCTGGAAAAGAATCGGTGAGTCAGTGATGAAGTGCATCTTTTTATTTTTAACATATGTTTAAAAAGCAAACTCGCATTTGACCTGTAATGTTACAGTACATAGATGGTTGTAATTTTATTTTTCAATATGTAGCCCATGATTCTGATATTTATGTATTTTTTGCAATAAGTAAACTTATATGACCTAAACTAGAAGTAAACATTTTTAAGCTCTTCTGAATTTTGATTTTCATGGAGTAGCTATCTGTATTTGTGTGTTTCAGAACAGGTTAATCATGATATTTAGGCTCATGGCTTAAATGTGATCTTGCTAAAAGATTAGGTTTCTGGAACAGTTCATAAACATGATAAATTGGAGCACAGTGAATCTTCCTTGCGGTTTGTTCGTTCATTCATTTATTCAGGCATTCCACAGATACTTATCACCTATGAACCAGAGTTATTGCTTGACAGGCAGAATGCGTTCCTAGAAGGTATTAGAACACTTAAGATAGTTTCTGTCCTTAAGGAACTCAAGGCTTCATGGGGAAGAGAGACCGGTAATCAGCATGCTGTTTCATCTCCTAAGCTTGGTTTTGGAGAAACAGGGTACTGCAGGGTCCTGAAGGTCATTTTAGAAGGTCATTTGACTCACCTTTGCAGAGCCTTGGAAAGCTCTGCTGAGAATGGTGAGTGTGCACTGTAGACTGAGTAAAACATTCGAGGTTCCATGTGGGGGTAAAAGATGATAGTAGAAGTGAGCCAGGTATTAGCTATGCTGAAGAGTTGGCTTTTCCTGACAGTGGTAGATCGCAGGTACTGGTTTTAAGATGGGTTGTTACATGATCAGATTTATGTTTTGGAAAGATCACTTTGGTTGTAGAGTGAAGTTGGTTGGGAGAGGGATATCAGAGGCGTGAAGCCCTAAAAGCTGTCGCAGTAATACAGATGATGGGGGGGTGGTTAAAGAGATGAGGCGAAACACAAAACTGTAGGGTATTTTCCTTTTGATGTAGAGGTTAATAACTGACTGATCCACAGTGGCCATTTTTGACAAAATACGACTTTATGTCAAGCTACTGCTTACTTTTGGTAGTACTGGAATTGAAGTCAGGGCCTCATGTGTGCTACATCTTTTCCTCTCTTTTTTTTTTAGTATGAGATCTTACAGATTGACCAATACGCCCCATTGCTGATAAAATTTTAAGTCCTCTTGAAAAAGCACAGTGTATATTTCAGGTATATTTCATGGCTTTTTAGCATTTTACTCATTTTTTTTTCTTGTTTTTGTTTTGTTTTGCTTTGCTTTGTTTTGGTCTTTTTTGAGACAGGGCCTCACTATGCAGTCCAGGCTGACCTTGAACTCAGTTTATAGCCTAGGCTGACCCCAAACTCTCAGTGATCCTCCTGCCCCAGACCCCCAAGTTCTGGGATTACAAGTGTGCACACCATGCCCAGCTGCTCAAAATTTTGTTCATACTTCCTATCGTGAAACTGATTAGGAGCATTTGAAATTATTTGTTTATGTTTGTCACTTCTACTAAGTGAGTATGACTGCCTGAAAGGCAAAGATTCTGTTTTATTCGGTTTGTATCTTCAGTGTCTCAAGTTGATCTATATACAGTAAATGATGGCTTTAATAATAAAAATAAAACTGAAACTCAAATGTTTTAGGGGACTGAACAAAACGAATAGAACTTTGGTTTTGCCTGTCATCTTCCTTTTAGCAAGAGCTCCTATGTAGAAAGTAACTTACTTGAGAGAAATAGCTTTTCATTCTGAAAAGATACTTTGTTAATGGCAGTTAAAGACATTTTGTTAGTGGCCAATCAGTTTGGTAAGAGAGCTTCCATTTTTTTCCCCCTCCCTGGGACCAGGGATTGAATTTAGCACCCTGCGCTTGCCAGACAGGCACTGTGCTGCTGAGCTATACCCAGCTCTGAGGTCCTTCATTTTAAAGAACTTCTTTTTGCCTTATATTTCTAGTGTACTGAAAAGATGAATGGTTTAAAGAAAGTATCTAGCAAGTAAAATGTGGCCAAAGGGGGCGGGGGAGATAGCTCTAAGGATTCTAAAGATGAAATCTAATGTTGAACTTTAAATTAGAGTGTGGAATATATTTTGGGCCACATGAGTTAAATAATAATAACCATGTGGCTTTTCTAATTACCTCACCCATTGGGATGTGACTCTTGATGAACCCCAATCAGAAACCTGGCAAAGACTTTTGTTTAGCACTTGAATAAAGAGACTCTTGTAATTATCTGAAAGGAGCAGTTAAAATATGTGAGTAAATTTTAATGAATTCCAGATACCATTTCTAACTTACTGTTGACTTTATTAAAAGACCTCAAGGATGATAGTATATCACTTACAACATTACTTTGTTATGCCCTGTAACTTGTCTAATCTTGTGCCTGTGGCACAGGTATAACCAGCATGGGTTTTATTGTTTGCTTTTTGGTACCGGGGATTGAACCCAAGTAAGTGCTCTACCAATTAGCTACTTCCCTGGCTGTATTTATTTGTTTTTTGAGATAGGGTCTTGCTTAGTTCCTGAGGCTGGCCTTGAACTTGCATTCTTCCTGCTTCAGCCTCCTGAGTATCTGGAATTACAGTTGTGTAACACCATGCCTGATTTCACATGCAAAGTTTTTGTTAGCTGGGCTGCATGTTATCTCTAGTGAGTGTGTTTTTGTTCCTGTTATTTAGGTCTGAGACTTTTTCCCCCTGTGCAACCTCACTAGACGCATTGTTCTCTTATCCTAATAACCCAACAAGGGCTAATAGAAGGCCTAGTAGACATTCATGTCTTTATTTCTCAAGTTATTTCTTTCCTGTTTCCTTCTTTTTTCTTCTTCTTTTTCCCTCTCTTCCCTGAGGTGTGACTAAAAGATGATACAGGATTCATCTTTCCAAGATGTTTGTTTTTCAAAGGGGTTTTTATCACTATAAATAAAACTGTGTAATTCAATAGTATGTGTTAAGAGTATCAAAAGGAAAATCAGATTCAATAACCCCATACCCTCCTTTTGAAAAGATACCAGCTGTGAACTAGCAAGATACAGGAAGCCTGAAACTGTAGTGAGGTGGTCAGCAGGGGTGCAGCACGGGAGTATTTCAACAGTTTCACCCTATGTTGTTAGAGTTTTTGGCCCCTACCCAGTTCTGTTAAATCGTTCTTTTTACCAAGGCACCATTTTTATTTAATATGTTAAAGAAAATAGCTAACTGAGCTTTGGCATCCTTCAAAACGAATAGAACTTTGGTTTTGCCTGTCATCTTTTAGCAAGAGCTCGTATGTAGAAAGTAACTTACTTGAGAGAGATAGCTTTTCATTCTGAAAAGATATTCCTGAAGTAATTCATATTCTTGAAGTTTTGCCACCTTGTAATATGTTCAGTGTCAGAATTTTTTTTGTTTTTCTCTTTAGCTTGATTCTAAGTCTTGCACTTACAAAACGCTGAGTCTGAGTTTGTGTTTGTTTTTACTGAGGCAGATGCAATGAGATTTGGAGAAGGTGATTTTAAATTATGGGCAGAGTAATTGCTGATGGTTCACTTGATGTAATGTCCCAAGATTGTCAAAGGCCTGAGTTTCAGCCTAGAGGAGAAGGTAGGTAACAGGCTTGGAAGTGCGTACTCCTGAATCTCAGAACAGCTAATGATGGATATTTTGGGTCTGAGGTGCCAAGAGTAACTCACAATTATCTCTATAGTTCTTTAAGGAGTTTTAGGCAATTTCTCAATTAATATAGAAATTTACATTCTTTCTTGCATAGGTCCTGGGAGCTGCTTTCTACCTAAAACCGTATCGATCATGCTTAATCTAGTGGGAATATTCAGAGCATTTGTTACCTGTGTTCTAGGTGTGTTTCCCTAGACGTGTAACAGGTCGTAGTAAGGCCAAGATATAGAAGTGGAAAGGAAGCAGAATACTTTTCTTTCTACATTCTTCAGGAATCTTCATGAAAATTCTCATGGTAAATGTATTGAGTCTTTGAAAAGGAAGAATTAAGAAATTACTTTGTTTGTTGGCTTATCTTATGTGTCAGGTCTTTTGCTGGAGAAGAAACTGTTCAACAGAGTTTAGACTGCTTAATTGCTTTCCCATTATCTTAATTCAAATTACTGATGATGTTTTGGACAGAGCAGCAACTTTAACAGGACTTTAATGGTCAAGAACCTCAGTGCCGACTGCAGGGAAGGCTGTTCAACCTCAGTAACTGCTGTTCTATTGGGATAAAAGGCTTTTATGCTTGTTACAACTTTAGCAAAGCTAGACGGGCCGAGTGAGAACTCTGGACAAGTAATGCCTCCTAGGCAGAGCCGAATGACTGTGGTAGAAGAGAGATTAATGAGTGTCCAACAGATGGTATTAGGTCTCCATTTATAGGAACTTTCACAGACCTTTGAAGGAATGATGAAAATTAGCATTTATGGAATACTTCCATGTTTCCTCATTATACAATGGTGTTGGATAACTCTATAAGGAAAAAGGTCTGTGTGAACAGTGATGGAGGTAGGAAGGCTGGCATCCTAAGTTGGGTTCCAGAACAAGTGAGTAGACTACTTCAAATAGAATAGCAGAATCTTATCAGTTAGTCAGAGGTGAGGGTGCAAAGGTAGTTTGGGATTAGATTGTAGAATGTTACAGTGTGTCAGGAAATTTGGATTTTATTTTGTGGGCAGTATTTGAAGCTTTTGTTCAAAGAAATAGGTACAATCAAAGCAGTAGGAGAGACTGTCGATCTGTAGCAGGGACCAGTTTGGAGCTGTTGAGACCCAAGAATTGACACTCAGATGACAGAATTGGGACCAGAGAAAGAGGACGTGGCAGCAGTGAAGGAGAATACCCTGTTTTCTGTGAGTTGCTGTTGTTCATACCTCCTCTCCATTTCACTCTTCACATAGCAAGAAGGGCGACTTTTCTCAGAGAATATATCAGATCGCATCATTGTCTCTGTTGACAATCCTTTTGCTAACGCCCCTTACTGTTAGATAAAATCTGTGGACTACGTAGTTTACTGCTTTACG